TGCAAAAGTTTGCTATACGAGTTCTTAGTCTTACTTGTAGTGCTACAAGTTGCGAGAGAAATTGGGGTGTGTTTCAACATGTGTCGTACATGACATTATAAATTCGGTATCTGATTTTAAATATATCAACTAATATCCAATTAAACTTTTGACAACTTCACACCAAGAAGCGGAATAGATTAACACAAGAAAGATTGAATAACATGGTCTATGTGAAATTCAATCGTGCCTTGCAACGTAGATATAAGGAGGGAAGTAGTGATCCTATCATTCTAGAAGACAGATGAAAGTAACGAGTGGTTGATGGGGAGGATGGAAAATGATGATGAAGATGATGATTTGGTATTTATTGATGATGATCTTACGTGAGATGACGTAGGTAGAGCTTTCGGGGCGTATAAGACTCCTCATTTCACTAGAGCATCAAGAGGGAGCCGGAGAGTAAACGATGATGGGTCGGGTCCATCAAGAGCTAGAAGTGCTAGAGGAAAAGAACATGCTCTTTAGGATGAAGATGATGTGGAAGCAGATATTGGAGGATTTGATAATGATGAGGGAGATGAACCTGTGTTGGGGTTTGATGATGCTGATCTTGAGGAGTATTAGTTGGTCACTTGATTGGTCATTTAGTTTAGGGATTGGGACTATTAGACATTTACTTGTGCAATTGTGTTCTTCATGGTAGTAGTTTGTGTGTTTTGTACTTCTGTTATTCCGATTCACGAACTTTTTAAGATTCTAATGCCATTTTTTTTAACTACTTTATGTTATAAATGAAGTATTTTGATAGGTAAGTATTTTTAAGGTAGAAATTGATATGTAGAATTAATTTATAAATATTTTTTAGATACCGGGCGCATCACGGGCATGATGCGAGCGCATCAGCATCACGCATCGGCTTCCGGGACCCTTAATGCATCGGACCGCATTGCACTTTTTAAAACCAAGGATGGAGGCATGACTCATCTCTCCCTTGTCTTTCTTTCGTTTCCCCCTTATCTCTTGCTTTTCTTCTGCTCTTGCGCCAGTAGTACCCCTCTTGTCTTCCTCTACTATTCCTCACGTCTCTCTATCTCTCTCACCGTATCATCTTTTATTTCCTTTGTATCTTTGATGAATTATGCAAATGGTTGAACGCATATTGTACTCTGTACCTGGTTACAATGTTTCATATGGTATAGTTGTCCCTTGTTTCCATATGACATCCCGAGGTGACTAGATTGGTGTCTTATTTGTTCTTTATTCAAAACATAAAAGTGTATTAATTATTTGTTTACTATTTGACAAGCTGGTTCTAAATTTTTTTTGTTAGATAGTTCTTATTTTTCTTTATTTAATTAAAGTGTAATTATTTATTTCTTAACTATTTGATAAGTTGGTCGTAAATTTGTTTAATTGGATAATTTATGTTCATATTTGATGTTTATATATTTATTATTTATGGTTCAGATGCACTATCTTGGTAGTACATATTATTTTTTAGTATAGTTAAAATAGTTTTATTATTTGCACACATGTACTTCATGCTACATTATTTGTAAATATGATTTTAGTTTTGGATATAGCTGTATTATTTTTATTTTAGCTTGACTTTAAATGGTATATGTTCAATTAATAATTGCAGTTTTTATCAAATTCAAGTGTTACTTATTTAGTATGCTTGAATATTATTAGCTTATTTTAGTTTGTAAATTTTCTTTCTTTTAAATTTGTAATTCCACTTGTCTCCATGCCATATATGACATGGCTTATTTTTCGGTTTGGACAACTGTGTGTGTGCACGTGCGGTTGACGTAACTGTAATGTTAAAAACCACCAAGCAACTTGCCTACTGACCAATTGAAAGTGCAACCTGGCGAGAGTGGAGGTTGAGTAAGTTCTAGAGGATACCTCATTTTTCCGAACTTGCTTTAAAGGTATTTGCACAACGTGAAGCACACCTTAATGTAGAAATAAATATAAAATGATGAATAAGAGTGATATGGAGATGCAAACATAGATTGTTTTAAGATTTGTTTGTGCTAGAAATTACTCCTTGTTGAGCAATCTATACAAGCGACTATGACTAGCCGAGTTGTTAGCTACATTGTTTTTGCATCATGTTACCAGTTGTTGGTTATGACATGTTACTAGTTGTTGGTTATGATTTGTCACTGAAGATTTGCAACGTGTTACCGAAGCATGTTGCCACAAAATCTTTTCTACTAAAGCATCATATTGTGCTATGTCAGAACGTGTGGCTATCCAAGTCTATAGCTACCAAGATGTTCTGGCATACAAATATACAAATGAAGTTCACATTGCGCAAGAGGATGGTTCCTAAATTTAGAGTGTATATAATGTATTATAAGAGCAGAAGTGTTCTCTAGAAAGTTTAGGTGTTATGCTATACATGATTTTTAGTTTGTGCTCATGTTTAAAAAAATATTAATAGCTTGCATGCCTATTCTTCTTTGTAGATGCTTTAATTGCTTGTTTTTTTGTTCTTACTTCTCTTTCCAACTAAGTTTTTAATTAATTATTGAGAGGAGAGACCAAATATCAATCATGCGAAGATAGATGAATGATGCTCTCTCCAGCTTAGTTTTCTCTAGTATTACTCCCCAGCCCTCATATTATTGAGGATAATCTAAATTACTTGGCAAATGATAGTATAGTACTTAAAATTTTCAAACAGTAGTATGCAAGAATGACAAATATTGCAATGCCAAAGAATGTAGAATATGATAAGCATTTCAAGCATAAGTCATGCTAATCTCAAAGCATAGTTCAATAACAATATGGAAGAATGATTACTTCATGTAAAAAGAACAAAGGTCAAGAAATATTTCATGTAGTAGAATAGTAACACATGTCATTCAGCATAGCCTCCAAGATTAAAACAATACTACTATAGAGCATCTCATGGTTAAGGTTAAGATTGTTTTCTATTCAATTTATCTAAATTAAACCAATACGAAACCAAACTAAACTAAACAAACTAACAAAGCCAATATATCCCATAGAGGCATACCTTGCCTCTACCTGAGAGGGTAGAGACGTTCCCAACTTGAAAAGCAAAAGCAAAAAACAAGGAGACATGTGAGGAAAGTAGCATTATAACGTAGTGTTATGTGCAAACACGCAACATGTATGATGAACATAAGATAAAAGATAAAACAAAGTATAAGCAAGAGATGAAAAATTGGAAAACCTAAACCAACTCTCTATCTACCTCATATCCACCCTTCGCTGTGCCTACCCTATACCTTTTATAAAGTCCCCTCCTTCTGGACTTGTTATCTGCATGTCTACACATAGTCTGCTATCTTAGTCCTACCTCCTCCTGGCCTTTCTCATCTACTTCTTCTACGTTCTCCTTGGTCTGCCCTCACCTCCTCACCGTCATACATTTTATCATCCTCATTGTTGTCCTTTTCTTTTTTGTATTGTCTAAACCACCTAAGTCTGCTCTCCCTTAGTTTATCCATGAGAGGCACAATTCCAACTCTGCCTTTAAGATCTCATTTGCTATCCTATTAAATATTGTCCAACCACATTTCCACCTAAGCATCCTCATTTCTGCAACTTCCATCTTCGTCTCATGCGCCTTCCTTGTCGTCTAACACATCGACTCATACAACATAGTTGGTCTAATGGCTATTTTATAGAATTTCCCTTTCAGTTTTAGTGGGACTTTCTTATTGCACCCCACCTTAATCCTATGTGTAACATCTTCCACGACCTCTCCATCCCTTTGAATCATGGAGGCTAATCCTCAATGTTGACTTCTACTTTTTATTCTTCCATATTTTCCCTTCTAAAGTTGCACCTTATGTACTTCCTCTTGGAACGAGTAATTTGCAATCCTTATGTTTTCGGAGCCGCCTTTCATTATCCAATCTCTGGCTCACTTCTACCCTCAACTCTTCTAACAATATCCTATATCCTATTTTGTATTTGAATTCTATTAATCAAAATATTTGACACACAAATATGTATCTATCATGTATGTATAATATGATCATATTATGTATTATATAGGGGAGAAATCAAATAAAAACCGTCTAAAAGTTAGAAACTGTACAAACCAATTCATATGTGTAGTTTCATAGATGAAACAACTCGTGTGAACATGCAATGCTTATTCAATGTTCTTTCATTGATGAAGCGTCAAGGGATTTTTGCGTGTGAAAAAGAAATACAATAAAAAAGAAATACAAAAATATGTTTGTATATGAAAGACACACATACTCACACAAGAACATATCATGTGAAACAATATGGATCATAACTTAAAAATCAAACTCACTGGATGGTTTTGATTGATTTCATGGGTTTGGTTTTCACATCTGTTGTTTCACCTACGAAACAATACATGAAATTGGTTTTTAGGGTTTCTAACTTTTAGCGACTTTCTATTTGATTTGTGGTCTATATATATATATACAGAGAGAATTATGTGAATTTATGTAATATACATTTGCTGGATTCATGTTCAAATCATAATCAAAATCAAAAAGTGTTCTAATTTTCCCCTAACATAATGCATTTGTTGAATTTTGATATGATTAGCAACTGTTTGGAGGCCTACATACATGTAATGTTGATTCTAATTATATAAGGTTTTTGATTTTTTGAACTAGCTATGGCATTTTTCATTGTTGGTCAATATGGGCAAAATGATATGCTCTTAGATAGTGCTATATACTAATATCACTGTAGTCCTTTCATTGGCTAGCGGGTTGAAATGCATCCTATAAACACTTGAGTCCACAGCTTTGTAGTTTACTAATGATCTAAAACCTGTCCAACAACTTTGTGGTGTGCAGCTATTTATGCTTAATTTGCCTTCTAGGGTTTTGGATAGAATGGGTTTGATGGACTTGACCTGGTTAGGTCCTCGTGGATTTATTTATCAAATATGGCATCCTTATAGCAACATGTCACATATGTTTTATGTTCAAGAACCAATTACAAACTGATAACTATGAGGATGCTAACAGTGATGTCACTCTTGAGCTTCTTTTATGTTTAAATGTATTGCCTTGTCATTGTCCTTGAAAATTAATTAAGTTGCTATTGTGATGCTTCAACTACATATACACCATTTATCATCTCCTAATCCTTGCAGTTAAGGAATTTGGCATTATAGTAGTAATAATAAGATTAGCTAAGGTGACGTTTGTTTCTTAAGAGCTACTGAAGTATGAAGTCTTATTTTACTTCTGATTGATAAGAGGTGGTGTTGAAGTCTAAAGTCTGAATCAATAGAACTGTTTGTTTTTGTAAACTGATAAATATATGAATTTGTTTAAATTGTCTATTTTACCCATTAGAATATTATAGTGCTGAATTTATAGATAAATGTATAAAATTTCACATATTTATTCATCATCATCCTTACAAAATTTACATCTAAATTACATGAAAATATGCCATTGACGGTATTTAACACATTTAAATTATATTAAAATACATCAATTGAGAGAAGTGGAGATCAATTTGGTAAGAATCATTTGAGAGAAAGGATCGATTAAGGTCAATTGATTGAGAAACACTGTTGCCGAGGGTCTGGAGAATAATAAGAGGCAAATAAGAGGTTGGTTTGCCTAAGACGACAATAAATCATAAGTTGCCTCTGAAAAATTGGAAAAAACAGTCTCTACCTCTTAAAGAATCAAACGTAAGAGGCGGATAAGAGTTTTTTTTTCTAAAAAGTAAACAAGGCCTGAGTCTAAGTTTAGTGAAGGTTCTACTCAATCATAACGGGGATAATAATTTTAAAAAAGAGCGCTTTCATTTGTACGGGTCACAGAGCATGTGAACACTGTAGTTCCTAGCAATCCTTGTTCTAATTTTCCTTGTGGCTTGCTTTGCTGCTTTACCAATTCACTGTTACAATTTACATTTCATTGCCATTACCATCTGGTTGTCGAGCACTTCATCTTGGCATGCTTTGTAGAATTTAAATGGAGGATATTCAAATTCATTGTGGAAATAGATCATGCTTCCAATCCTTTCTTGTTGCTCATACTACTACGTGTAGAGTCGGTGTTCCACCACTATTATATACAAAATTTTGGTGGGAAGCTTGTTTTGTATTTGAGTTGGAGATCAGTAAGGTTAAAAAAGTGTGCATCTCTTGGTCAATTAGAAAGCTTCTTGAAGAACGAGATAAGATATCCAACAGGGTCACAACAAAGAACGGACTAGAAATATGATAAAATAAACTTCAAATATGCTCCATTTTTACTTGAAGAAGTGTTCTTACAATTTGAATGATCACTTTGTATATACAGTCTGTGTAGCATGTTGATTCGGTAACTTCAAAAGCCAACATGTTTTTATTTCAAAGAAGTTGATTGAGGTAGGCTAATAGTGGAGCCGATTAGAG